AAGAGCAATTGTCGCATGAAACAAAGTCTCACGTAACTGCCATAAATATGGCAGAGAGAGAGAGAGAGAGACAGCAAAGAGCGAGGTGAACATTGCGTATGAGTTATATTTTGTGCTCCCTCCACATCACACCACACAATCGAACTGTTTATCATTTGAGGGCGAAACAATGCAAATGCACGAGCAGGAAAGAGCGAGGTTAAGACTCCTGCTCACACATCAGACATCACACCCTCGCCATTCCAATACTTTGGCACTCCAGCAATCCGCACGCTCTCTCCCTTCGTTTGTTTGTGTGTTGTAATGCAATGCGCGCGAATAAGAGAGCGAGACAGCAACAAGCAGGAGCATCGGCAGCAGCAGCAGCAGCAGCAGCGGCAAACAACCGCAACAATAAATAAACTGTAACATATGCAAATGATGATGAGAAGCATTTCGATATAGTCGCTGGCTGTCTCTGCCGTTGTCGCTGCTTCTGTTTCTGCTTAAGCTCTTTAGCTCTGCCTCTGCCCTACCGCTGCCGCTGCGCCTGCCTCTGCCCTACCGCTGCTTCTGTGCCTGCCTCTGCCCGACCGCTGCTGCTGCGCCTGCCTCTGCCCTACCGGTGCCGCTGCGCCTGCCTCTGCCCTACCGCTGCTGCTGCGCCCAACCGCTGCTGCTGCATTTGCTCTCTCAGCTCTGCTCTGCTCTCCTCTCCTCTGCTTTAGCTCTGCTGTTGCTGTCCTCTGCTGCGTCGACTGCTGCTCTACCAATGTTGCTGAGTTTTGCTCTCCTCTGCTGCTGCGGCTGCTGCTCTGCCTCTGCCCAACATGCGATGCGGCTTCTGACTCTGCTGATGACTGCTGTCTTTGGGCGTCAAATGAATATGCAAAAGCGAACAGGTGATACACACCGATACATGCAAATGTATGTGTGTATGCATGGATGTGTAAAGGTGAAGTTGGAGTGCTACAAAGAATTGGTAAAAATCCTGGACGGTGGCTGTTGCCGACAGCAGATAACCCACAAAAGCCGCCACAGCAACAACAGAAGCATCGGGAAAGTGCAAGGAGTAAAGTACGTATAGTGGCACCTGCCTAAAAGAAACCTTTGGTGATTCTAGCAATTTTCAAAACTCGAATCTCCAACCAAGTGGAACTCAAACGCTAATCAATGGCACTTTTCAATCCCTATTGATGGTGCCTCTTACACAAATACCACTGTACACGCACACGCACACGCTCACGCACACGCACACGCACACGTAACTGTTACAATTTCAATCTCGTTGGGTTTATCGTGCCGCTGCTCACCTCCCCCCTCTCATCCGTCCAACACACAAACACGGCCGCAGCAGCAGCCATAAAACAAAAAGTGTGTGGGGCAGGGGTGGCAGGGGGCAAGGGGGAAGTTCAGGGAACGACAAACAGCAGCTACAAGCACGTCAACAACATGCGGCGACAACAGCGACGGCAACAGCTTCAACTGCAGCAAACGGCAGAGGCGGCAGGCAGCAGGCGGCAGCGGAAGGCGGCAGGCGGCAGGCGGCAAGTCAATTGTACAATTCCCAGGCAGCACCCACACACACACCGAAAGAGAGAGAGAGAGAGGGAGGAAAAGACACATGGAAAGCAAAACAAAAAAAAAAAAAGTTTTTTTTAATAAAATTAAATTTAATGCTGGCAAATGCTCGACGCCCGACTCTCGACATTCGTTCAGTTTCATTTTTGCAGCAAATTGCATTACAGACAACCAACCACCCACCCACCCATCCAGCCGACCCACCCAGAGGCCGAGGGAGCGAGGGAGAGACGCAGGCAGCAACAGCAACAAAAACCACAAATGCAAATGAGCCACAAATGCAATGCACATGCATAAAAAATGAAAACGGTTAAATTGCTCCCAGCAATGCACCGAAAGAGAGTCCAGGCAGAGCAGAGGGCAAAGACAGCAGAGGCCAGGCCAAGAATGGAGAGGATGGAGAATATGGGATTCTGTGTTCTCAATGAATACCCTTCAGTCTCCAGGCAGCCGCGCGAAGGGTATGCCAGGCTTCGGCCATGCCTGCCATTGTATCTTTTTGTTGCGGGGGCACCCCCAAAAGTATCCATAAGTTACGCTCGCTCCGAACGACATTTCTCGTTGTTGCGGTCCTCACGAAAAATATGATTAAATATTGTAAATGCCAAAAGTTATAAAAGGCGGCGCACAGGGGGCCTCCCCCCCCGCCCCGCCCCACTAGAAACATGCAGACAATTCCAATTCCAGTTTCAGTTCCAGTTCAGGCCACGTCAACGGGCAAGGCGGCAAGCGCTTACGCCCACAGCACAGCACAGCACAGCACGGAAAAGTGCAATGGCCACACCTTGCCACAGCCACAGCCACAGCCACACTAGGAGTCACAGGGGGGGCATCAGGTTGCAGCCGAGCAGCAACTAGAGAAGGATAATTGGCAACAGGCACAGGCACAGGCACACATCTCTGGTTCGATAGCCTTCTTTCCCTTTTCCCCATGAGGGATCAATAGAGCTTTTTCCACTAAGAACATTCCTTTGACAGCTCTGGTCCTGGCCACTTTCCGACGCCTGTTGCACCCACTATTATGATCTACTTTCTAAAAATAGCCCTACTTTTGGTTGGACAGCCAATCACTGATTCTGTCACCTGTTTTTCCCCGACTGGGGGCGGGCCGGGGGGGAGGTGGCTAAAAAGAGTGTGCATATTTTAATTATAACAAGTTTCGCGCTATGGAAATTCAAGGGTGGCGGGGCGGGGGGGGCTGGAGATACAAAGATCCGAACGAACGAGTCATACCAAATATAAGCAACGACGAAAGACAAGGCTTAAAAAAAAAAAAGTAATTGTGGCTAAATGTCAAAAGCGACAATTGTTGCTATAGTTGTGGTCGGTCGTGTTATGGCCGGGCAAAGTGAACGGTACAAGCTGAACACAGGCCCCAACAGCCAGTAGATGGAGGAGGAGGAGTCTGGGTCTTAGTGGGTTGCAGGCACAGCCACGGACTGACCACAAGATGGTGTGTGTCATGGGTATCCGAGCAGGTCTAAGCATGCTAATTATGCGTTAATAAGCACTCGCACTCGTATCTAACGGGGCGTACTCCATGGGGGATTGACTGTGCTGCTGTGGTGCCGTGGTGCTGTATCTGAGATAATTTCTCGGCTACAATTTGCCCCATTCTTAGTCGTTGACGTCGTCTCGTGTCACCTCGAGACTGGCGACGCCAAGAATTATTGCGAAATTCTGTGGGGTGGGCAGGGGGACAGTGGGGGGGGACTGCCTCGGGTTCTCTTTTTGGCTTTAATTATGAACAATCAGACAGACAGTGTTCTTCGGAGCTCTTTTTGTTGCTCCTTTTTGTGCATGTCAATCAAAAGAGCTCAAAGTCGTGATTTGATGATTTTCCTATGCGCCACATTTGTGTTGTAGTAGGCTTTTGTTGTAGTCTTTTGTTGTTGCTGTGGGTCAGGCCACACACAAAAACCATTTGTCAAGTAGAACAGTAACCTCAGGTCCGTCCGTCTGTCCGCCTGTCCGTCTGTCCGTCCGTCTGTCCGTCCGTCTGTCTGCTGTCTGCTGTCTACGGCTCTAAGCCTGCCTGTCCTTCAAAGCACGGCACGGCGGCAAAAACAATGAATTATTGAAGCCAAAAGATTGAGATTCGACGAGAGAAACAACGACGAATTCCAATCAAAATATCAAGAGTGAGTGAGAGGGGGGCGGCTTTTCCAGGGGTTAAACAAGTTTAAGAGTTTGGATCTTGTATTTTTGGGGGATTTATTGATTTAGAAAATATTGAGAATGTTTGGTTGGAATAGTTTTAAGGGCGGAAAAGCCAGGTGTTCAAACAGCCAAATGACAAATTTCAATGCTGGCCATAATAATGATCCGATTGGAACCGGATTCAGCAAATAGATCAAATAGATAGCTCAGATCTTGCTTTATCCTTCTGAATTTTCGGCTTCCTGATGAAAACTATTCAGTGTTTATAAATAATAAGAACTCTCATTAAATGGAACAAACGATACGATTACCGGATAAACCCAGCCCCATAAAGCATTTCCCTTTTGTTGTGGGGCTTCATATATGGGGGGCATATGCACATGATATATGGAAGTACATATGTAAGACTGAAACATGAATGATCGTTGGGGCAATTATTTCGACAGCTGGCGCCAAACGACATCCAAAGTGTATCTACGGATATAGGTGGGTGGGTTGGGGCTGGGGGGCTTGGGGGGTCGGCTGTGTTTTATTACAACCTTCTTGGAGTCACATAAATCGAACAGTGTCACGAAATAAATTTCAGACCCAGATCCAGAGCCAGAGCCCCCCTCGAACGGTTTTCAAGCTGTTGGCTGGCTGATTTTTATTTATTTCGTTAGAGTTTTTAGCCAAAGTTGCTAACTTTTTTTTTTCGCTCCCCCGCACAGAGCCACACCACCCCTCGCCGCCTCCTCCGTCTGAGCAGAGCCGAGCTTTTGGATCTGGCCTGGTCTTTGGTTTCTTGGCTCTTTCGACTGGCTTTTTGGCTAATTTATGCAGCGAACCAGTTTCGTTTGGCTTTCAGTGTCAGAGGGAAGCAGTGGCAACAGCAACAAAATGTATACAACAAATTAAATTTTTATTAAAACATTGGCATTTTGAGTAGCGCTTTTTGTCGTTGTTGTTGTTGCCTTTTGTTAATTGCATTTGCAATTTCTAATTAAGTTGGTGGCCGAAAAAGCCAAACACACAACTGGTTAACGTCCCCGTCCGGGTAGAGGTTCAGAGGTCTCTACGATCGGGTAACCCTCTCCATAGAGCGCTCGGTGTGCCGTTAGCCAATGCAAAAACCGACAAGCTCTGGTCTGAATCAGCTACCAGTTTTTGTTTTCGAACAAGTTTCCAAGGCGATTTCAATGCAAAAATAAAACTTATCAAATATATCTTTATTTACACACACACACACATACATACATATATACAATAAATCAATCGAGTGGATGGAATGGCTTCTATTTCTAATGCTGCCCCGCGGACTGTGGACTGTGCTGCTGCTGCTGCTGCTGCTGTCTCTGCCGCTTGGCCTCTTTGCTCATTTTGGAGACATTGTGGCGAAGTTTCCGCTTGAACAGCAGCTCTCGATTGACCGCCTTGAGGTCATCCATGCTGCAGGTCTTCAGATTGCGGACCGTCTTCGAGATGAGCTCGTCGGTGATCTCGATCTTGGTGCGGGACAGCCTCAGCTGGCGGGCATTGCGACGCGCCAGCTCGGCCCGATACAGGAACAGATGATAGGTGACGGTGGGCCTGTACAGTCTGTCGTGGTCCATTGCGTTCTGGCCGAGTTTGCTGCTAGCTCAAAGTCAAGTGAAAGTGGGGTAACCGCTCGCCTGGGCTGCGCTGCGCCGACTGATGGCCGTGTGGCAGGGGACACGGACTTATATCTGGGGCAGGGCTACCTGTTATCAAGGGAAGGGGCTGCGGTTGCTACCTGTGGCACTGTCACTCTCTCTCCCTCTCTGTCAATATTTGTGCAAAAATATTTCATGTCCTAATCCTCCGGCCTAATCCCCCATATTGGATGTTTAAAGGCTTAACCTTTGGTTTACCATACCATTATTATGCATTAGTTACGGAGACCCAAAGATTTCGCCTCTGTGGCAGGAACGTGCATGTCGGTGGGAAAGTTCTGGAACCGCATTTCGATGGAAGTAAACGATGAACATCTTCAGAACCAATAGAAAGCCCCAAACATGGGACCCACACATTTGCATCCCACATAAGAACGAAGGAGAAAACCTTTCCCTAACAACCGTGCGACTATTCCAGAGAATTCTCTCGTGTTCTAGGGGGCATACATCGCCTCTGCTCATCCAGCAGCACCTGAGTGACATCTCCATCCACGTAAAGTACGTACTGTGCTGTTGCATGTTTCCATGGGAACCGAAGAGATGGAGAGATACAGAGAGAGAGAGAGATAAATATGTATGACATATCTTCCATGGTAGCTGCATCATTAGCATAAACGCAGAGGGTAGTGGCAAGACAGTGGGAGGATAGAGGATAGAGGACAGAGAGCCAGAGAGCCAGCCACTTCCAGGTAATTCATTAAAAATATGTGTCATAATGAAATACACATATGGAAGGGAGAGTTCTCGCGGGGCCAGGTCACCGAGTGTCGCATAATCCTTTTATAATTACACTTAGTAGCTGCAAATGTAGCGAAAACAAAAGGATCTCGAAGCCGGATTAAGAGCCTTTGGGAAAGACCACACGCCGGGATTAAGCGAATGCGGTGCATCACCGTTTTATGGCGCTCCTCAAGGGTCTGCGGCTGAGCCTATTACAAGCTGAAGAGTCTCCTCGAGTGCCCGCTGGGTCAGGTAGCTAAGGTCAAAGCCGTGGCCCAGAGGCTACCGGCCATGCGGGCTGTTAGCCATTTGCTGGTTTTGACAGCTCGTCGACAGCTTCCAATTCAACGCGCTCAATGAACAGAAGAGAGATGTGGTCATTGGAATCTGGAAAATGGAAATGGAGCTGCGGCTGCGGCTGCAACTGGGATTGGGATTGTGGTGGGGGGGGCCAAGAGGCCTTTGGGCCTTGTTCCGCGGCAGACAGCTTTAATGATGGCATCAGCAGCATCGTGGCATCGGGGCATCGGGGCAGGCCTTGCATTTAGCACCGAAACAGAGCATTGAATCATCCGAAGAATTACCATAAACGAGAGACACCGAATGAAACTTTCACTGGTCATTGTTATTATTGCTATCAACATTATGGTTAGCATTATTATTATTGCCACTTATTATCATTCTTTTTGTGCAGCAGCAGCAGCCGCAGCAGCAGCCAGGCAAAAGATTCATAAATTATCTTTTACTTAAAACCCTCCCGCTTTTCACTTTCCGTTTGGCCCACAAATGTATATATATTTAGGCCATAATTAAGTAGAAATTAACTCGAATCGGTACCGGTCCCGGTCCCGGTCCCGGCCCCGGCCGCGTGTCAATTACATTAAGTGAAATTACAATTACATGAAAAGCATTTTTAAAACCCACTTCTAACCCACATTAAAATGGGGGGTTTTTCTTTTCTGTGGGGCGGGCGGGGGGTTGGTCACAAGGTCACAATTTGTGAGTCGGGGTCCGGCCCAGACATTCGTTTCATAAATAAATATTTAACACGCAGTCGGAGAGTCCTTCTGGGTTTACATATTTATCACTTGAAGGAAATTCATTACGGAAAAGTGGTTTTCAAACGGAATTTATTTGCACAATTTTGTGGCAAAAACTGTGGCAGGTTTAAGGGGAAATATACTAGAAATACCAATGGCCTAAAAATTCACAAAAATTTTAGGCTGGAAGGAAGAGAGAAGGACCCTGTCTGGCTGGCTGTTTGAACACCTTTCAACACTATTGAGTCGCACAGCAAACAGCTTTTGAGTGCCACCTAAACTTCTTTTTTTCGTAAATAAAAATCATGTAATTAATGTGTTTTAATGAAGAAATATTACATCAGATCATATATGTATGTATGTATTATACACCAGATTTACATATTTATGGAGTACTGCCAAATTTGTAGGCACCACTTAGGAATCTTTGTTTCAATTGTCAAATGTATTTTTCCCTTTACGGGCATTAACATCAATCGATTTTGTGAAAGATTATAGAGAAAAAATTCGTTTTTTATTTTCCAACATCTGCGTATAAGGAAATCGGTTATAATAGTTATTTAAAAACGGCCAAAAATTCATTGATAAATTTCGTATGTCCATGCGGTGTTTGGTGGCTAGTTAATCTGTGCGATAGAAAATTTCCGTTTGGCCACTTAGTCGCCGTTTAAGCCAAGTCTTAAGTCTAGTGGGCTTAGCCGGTACCCTTGCAACATAGTGAGGCGAAAGGTCAAGCCATAAATGCTGGAAGAGGGAGACAAGGAAACATTGAGGTAAGGCAACATTCGCCAGAAACGTCAAACATTTGATAACTTTATTATGGATCCGGATCAACAACTGGCAACAAAAACCGACAGAGAGAACGAGGGGGGTTTTACCCGTGCGAACAGAATTCAGGTAGTCATGCAGGTCGGCAGGTCAAAGGACATGTGCCAGGACAACAGGTAGGCTAAGCGCCCCAGATATAAATAATCCTGGTAAAGTACAACAGGACATCATTCACAGCTCAAACTGCCTAGCAGACACAGCACCAGAAGCCGAGGCAGAACCAGCCCAAGTCACAGCCACAGCCACAGCAGCACCAGACGAAGAGGCAGAACCAGAGCCAGAACCAGAAGCAGAACCAGTACCAAATCCACGTCGTCGTCGCGCTCTGATCCGTAGCGCGGATCCCCACAGGCTCAATCAATTTAAACAGAAACTCCTTGAAATGGAGAGCCAACAGCAGCAGCGCAACAATCGTCGTGGCGCCCGTCCCAGTGTGGGATATCTGCTGTTCCAGTACCAGAGCGAGCTGACCCGCCGCCATGCGGAGCCCACGCGGCTCTCCCGCACCAAGATCCACATCATTGATGGCCTGGTGTCCCACACCATACGACACCTGAAGAACTGCAGCGTGGAGGAGCTGCAGGCCTGCAAGCGGGAGCTGGTCTACAAGGAGCAGCTCCGGGATCAGCTCAAGTGGAGCATGAAGAGGCGCCGCATGGCCACCACCAGAAGCAGCAGCGGCAGCAGGGCCAGCAGGGACAGCTCCCCAGCTCCGATGGCAAAGTCCCCAAGGACACCGCCCAAGCCGCGTCCCCAAGGCGAGGACCAGACCTCAAAGGTGTCCCTCTTTGGACCCGAGATCTTTGTCTAGAGATCTTTTTGGAGTTCCTTATTTTTTTTTTTTTTAGTACTTAAGTTTCCTTAGTTCAATTAATGATTGACCTTAATTGTTGACGATTAAAAATCAAAGAAAATGATGTTGAATAAAACCACAAAAAACAAACAAAAACAAAATCACAAAAAAAAAGATACTCTTTCAATAACTCTTTTGGCAATTACACAAAAATGTCAATTGTCGGTTGGTTTGTTGTAGGAGTGGAAATTCCTGTTCTGTAAGCCTGTTTTTTTTTTGGCCAGGGCTAAAATTTGTGCCGAACCGCGATTCGGATGGCTAGCAAAATGCCACAGTCGCCCCGAAAGAGTCAAGAGTTCCCACGAAGTTGGCTGGCTTGAAAATTGGCCAGCACCAGGGCTCCCTCCACTCTCCACTCTCCTGCCGATCTCTGATAGATGCGTCCAAGGCAGAGAGAGACAGCCAAGAATGCGGTTTAAAGTTCAATCGTGCAGCAAGTGCTATTTAAGATCGATAGATCATAGAGATCTATTCACAAAAAACAGAAGAAAAAAAAAACGTGATGATATTCTCCCTAGGAGATGATCTAACAAAAAGCTTTCTTCTCGCTTCAACCGTTATGCAAATCGTCATCAGTGCCTCAGAGAAATGCCTACTAATGAATATATTAACGAATATCAAGTTCAGAATCAGTTCGGTTCTGACGGTTTCCACAATTTGGCTCATTAGCAGGTTGTTTCGTGCCGTGGTTTTGTGTCCCCCCCCAAGGTTCATTCTTTATGGCTTCTTCTTTTTTTTTTTGGAGGTCTTTCGTCTTTGTTAGAAATGCATTGGTTTGGTTTTTTATTTTTTTATTTTATTTTTACCTTTTCTTAAGCTTTGAAATATTCCACTTGCTGTACAAATTTGTTGCTTTCTATTTGCATATTTGTTGTACAATAAATTATGAGCACAATGTTAACAGATGGAACAAATAGAAGACGCTGCTGGCAGAAGATTTTCTTCTTTTCTTCAAACACTATTTTTTTTTTTTGTTGTATTTCTTTTTTCGGCCATACACTTTTGAGTAAAATTTCTGATTTCTGCTTTCTTTTGGTGCAGCTGTAACTATAACTTGTTCAAAAAAAAAAACACGTTTTTTTGCGCCCAGTAATTACTGTAAAAGGCTATTTTTAAGGCTCCGAAAACCGTACCGTACGGAGCTATGCAATCCACAGTGCAATGCAATGCGGCGTCAATTTGGATTCGGAGTTCGGAAAACACAGCGAAATGGAACGAAAAAAAAAAATAAACTGAAATGCAAATGGTAACACGCACACACGGATCCACACGCTTGAAGGTGGGTGGGGCGAGGGGGAAGCGAGAGCTACCGGGACCGGGAGATACTGCAACTGCGGCTGCGGCCTGGGAAAACGTTCATTCTTCGGCAAAGAAGAAGACGCTTGGCTGCTCTCTTTCTGGCTACAACTCTATTCTGCACGAACGACGCGAACGATCGCGCCCGACGAATGAAAGACGAATGAATGGTGGCTGCAAGTTTCGGCGTCGGCTCTGAGCCGCGCTTCGGCAGCAGCTTCAAGTTCGAAAAGCTTGGTGTTCGAAAATCGAGCAGCTGCAGGAGAGCGGCCACAACGGCGAGAGAGGCGCTAGAGCGAGAGCGAGAGCGAGGGAGAGCGCGCGCAAGAGAGTAATGATTGCAAGTTTGTTGCTTTTAGGTCTTTCGTTTTGCTGTTGGGCTTAGAATTTGGTGGGCATTGATTTATTGTCTAACAATAACTGTGTTTTTGCATTGTGCGTTGACTTTGTCCGCGACAGAGCGAGAAAGATGATCTTTTCGGACACCAGACGCGATCGGATGACACACATCTTCTAGAAACTTGCGTTTACTCGAGGTCTCAGTCTTATTTAAATTCCCTTATCTGTTAATTGGTAATCTCTTTTGGATCTTTACCCGCTCTCTGATCTGCATTAACTTTCGCTGCCGCTCTCGCTGGCTCAAGAAGACTTTTACTCTCAAGCTTGGAGCAATTACGAATGCCGCTCTCACTGAATCGCCAAGCTCTGTCTCTCGCTCTGGCTCTAGCTTTAGATCTGTCTGCAGCTCCCGCTCTGACTCCCTCTAGCTCTATTTCTTTTGCTTTTGCTCTTGCTCTGCTCTGGTCTGCTTTGGTTTCGTTTCTCTGTTTCTGTTTCGTTTGCTCTTGCTCTGTTTACTCCACAAATTACCGCACATAATGCTTGTTCACTCACTCTCAGGGCGCTGGATGGGCCAGGTTTCAGGTTTTGTTTTTTTTTTAGTCTATCCCAACTTCGAATGACTTCTTAACGGTTCGCCACTTAATGCCTCGTTTTTGTTGTTGTTTCGTGTAGTTACCTTTTTTGTCGTTCGCTTCGGCTCTCACAGAGGGCCATCACATCAGCCACCCTCCCCCCCGGCAACCCCCTTGAAATTGCAGCTGTTATTGTCATTTTGCTTTTAGCCAGAAGCTTCACCTCAGCGCTCGAGTTCGAGAGCTGGGGTTCGGGTTCGGCTGAGCGTAAATTTTCTGCGGTTTTCATGCGATTCTTTGTGGCTCTCTCTCTTGCTCGCTTTTATACTCTGTCTCGCCATCCCTTCCTTCTTCGGGCTTTGCTCCTTTTGGCTGTCTTCCTTGCCGAACCTTCCCCTTTTGGGCTGTCTTCCGTTCCGTTCCTTCCCCTTCCCCCTCCCCTTTCCCCTCGTAGCTTTTCTTCTTTGCTATCTTCATTGTCATCGACTTGGTCGTTCTCCTTATTGTTATCGTTGTTGCTTTTAACTTTTTGCGTTTTTCTTTCGGCTAGTTTTCCGATGCCGCTCTTCCACGCTTGTAGGGCCTCGCTCTGCTCAGCTACTGCCTCCAAGGTGTGATAATAAAAGGTGAGGCATTCCAAAAAACACGCACGATAGCATGAAGCGTATTTTTCCTGTGTTTTTGCTCCCATTTTTCTCTCTTTCTCTCTCGTTGTTTCTTCCCAATAGGCCACCATCTGACAGTGCCCCACCTTGTCGGAAACACACACCTTGGTTTTCCATGCCTTTCACGCTTGTAGGGCCTCCCTCCTTATTCTGCTGATGCCTCCTTTCTGATGCTGCCTCTACTTTACGCTGCTGATGCCACAATTCTGCTACACCCCCCCGCCCTGGTGCTGCTGCTGCTTCAAACCGCAAACAGAGACCGCACCGCAGCAGTCGGCAGCCGATATGATCTGATTTATTGTAGTTTTCCGACTTGTTGTTGCTACTGCTATTGCTATTGTTGTCGTCGTCGTCTGTTAAAATATTTATTTACAATTTTCACAATTGGCATTTCAGTTCAGCGAGCTTGTCTCTCTGATTGTTTGATTGCATTGTTGTTGCTGCTGTCTCTGTTGCTGCAGCAGCAGTAGCAGCTCTCGACTGTTTGGCCCACTTTTACTTATGCACATAAATAATTAGGCGACTGTTTATGTTGCCCCGCCGACTGTCTGATAACAGCATTTGCATCGTTAGCCAAGTTTGTCAAAGGTTCAGTGTGCCGCCCCCAAATCTGCCTACCGTCTTATGGAAGAAGCTTCTCTTTCTACAAACAGAGAAAAAATCCTCTGAAATTTTTATTTTTTCACTGAGATTTAAATATGTACATATGTATGCCTTTAATTTGCAGATATTCAAATTAAAAGTAGTTAATAGGAAAATATTTATTTTAAATATATTTAATACATATTTAATTATTATTTTTTATTAATATAATATAAATAGATTTATATTAAAATCATATTAAATTCCTTTTAATTTTCAGTATTTTTGTATTAAATTGATTTATGGGTTTATTTCTTTGAACTGTGCCATTTTTCTCTCAGTGTGGGATTTTCCCTTTAAGTCTGGCGTGTGGGTGTGTGTGGCGCTCTGCTGTACAGTGCGGCCAATTAACGAACTACTTAGTGCACATTTAATGCTGCATACTTTTCGGCATGCACATATTTCTCTATTTGAAAGGGCAACTTTTTTTATAGGATGCCACACAGTGGTGGCTGAAAAATTGAAAGGAGTTGAGTAGTTTTGTAAAATATAATTTATAATAGCTCGTACATGTTTCTGAGCCTTAAAAGTCAAAGAAGCTGTCACCAGAGTCTGACAGTTCGTGCGGAAGTGTGTGTTTTCGCTTTTACAAGACATTTGCAGTTCGAATTCCACAGGGTAATGTCTCTGTGTGTTACTCCAGCACTCAAGACTGTTGGCAGTGGATGTCTTTATTAGACAAACTGTTCAAACTTTACAAATTCTAGTCTAAGAAAGCTCTTCATAATCCTCTCAAGTGTCATAAACATTGCCACCATAGAAAGGGAGGATCGGCACGGCAACCTCAGTGCTCCCTGTATCCTTCATCGAGTAGCGTAAATATATCCCTGTGCTGGTTGATTTTTCCCGCTTTCCTTTCGTACATTCTCATGGTTTTCTTAACCACACGAGTTCCTAATTAGCCAGCCATGAGTTGCCAATACGGCATTTGCGAGTACATGAATTCTAGGTTCCAGCCCCAGCCCCAGCCCCAGCCCCTGCCCCTGCCCCTGCAACAGCCCTGCCCTCTCTCCTGACACAACAATTTTGGCTTGTCTAATTACGGGGGGGGGCGTCGTCTCTCTATACCCCTACACACTCTGGAAAGTGTTCTTTCGGTTTGAGTTTCTGTCTCTAATTGCATTTCAAGCGATGCCAAACAATTTTGTGTGTACTCATCTAACGATGACAGGGGCTGCCTGCCAATGTACTGCAGGGCTTCGGTTCGGTTTGGTTCTGTGCAGATAATAAGCCGCTTGCCAGGGTGTCGTTAATTTGTGGGTGGCCCAAAAGTTGCACAAATTATCTGGCATGTGAGGAAAATTATAGAGGGCCGTTAATTGGCGCTGTAGGTGTTGGCCTGTTAACTGCCACAATTAAAATCAATGCCACGATGACCCAAATCCGTGTTGCCCTGAGTTGCCTTCGATATCGATATCAATTCGATGCGGTGCGGTGCGAT